ATAGACTGACTCTTCTAGTATTACTTTTATGTAGAAATTTGAATGATTTCAACAAAAAAAAATTGATCAAATGTCTGAGAATTTCTTATGATCGGTCCATTGTGCGGCGGGGCCTTTTTATTCTATCGCCCGAAAGATGCGTTTCACGGTTTCGTTTCTTCCGTGTACGATAGTGCGTTTCCGGTGTGGCTATTGATTTTCCACGGTGGTTCTCGTCTTGCCTCGTTTTCCTCGGTCGCTACGCCGACGAATAACGCTTTTCCGCGTGCTCGTCGAATTAATTAGCGGCGGTCTACTCTTGGGAACAGGTTTTTATTTTTCGTCGACGCCCTCCTCTGCATAATGGTATTTCTCGGTGGAAGGAAATTCTGGTCGAATCAAGGGGATGACTTGTGTGTCCACGAGCCTGGAAATTCATTTTCACTTTGTTAGTTTGTCGGCGGTAACTCTGACACCATTCTTGTCCCATGTAGTTCGCTGTTCTTGGATCTGCTTTATTAGACGTATACGAAATTATTTAAATTATGATGTTCTTCGTATATATGGTTCTATACGGCGAAGAAGGACATGAATACGTATGTTTCTACAATGGTGTAAAGACGAAGGATCATCCAAGGTCTACTGCCTGCCCTAAATATCCGCGTAATAGACACAATAGTAAGTAGAGTAAAGTTCCGACAAATTATATATATATATATATGTGTATACGGTTACAATCGAGCGGGGAATGTGAATCGTGGAGCGAGACGCGCGACAAAGATATGTGGGAGCCGGTGAGGAGTAGAAAACCGGAAGGTTGAACATTAATTAGAATAATTAATCGTAGCAGCAGAGGCTCGCTAGAGTTTATCTACTTTCAAGATCCGTAGACTCCTAACATGGGAACTTTGGTACTCCCGAAAATTCTGATCTTTCTTTAAAATTCGCATTCTCAAAATATTTCGTTAAAACCATGAAAATTTTCGGATTACTGAAAGTACCTTTCGTAAGCGGTGTCGAAGAGGTTTTCGAGTCCCAGAATGTCCCTCTCGAGGACCAGCCGGATAGCAATGCCGAAACGAGCAAAAGTAAAAGCGAGAGGAAAGTTGTGGACACTGTCGGGCTGGGAGAGCAGGTGCAAAAGCGACCAAGGGTACCTGTCACACGCGTGCATAATGCAGCCCGAAACTTATCTCCCGACAAGGGACTCAACCGACCTGAATAGTCTGGTCGAGGCAAGGTTAGGTCGGCGTGCAAGTGCACCTCTTCGAGAGGAAGAGAGACAAAAAAAGAAGGTCGAACCAGGGTGAGTCATAGGGCGGGTGCGTTTTCCGTCTATCGACCTGCGGGCACAGAAAACGCGCCCCGCGTGTAGGGGTTGCTCAGGGGAGGTTGGCGGGGGTGGAAGTCTGTCCCGGACCGATTCATCGCGTTGGGCCGCCTGGAAATCGATTCCAGATAATGGGCTATAATTTCATTCGCGTCCTGCCGAGTGATAATCGAATAGCTCTCCTCCGACAACAATGACGGAAACCTTTTCGATCGTCGAAACCGTCTGGGCTAGTTGTATTTGACAATAAGTCCTGGGGGCTGGAGCTTTTATAACGGGACAATTGTGTCTATCTGCAAGTTTGACGATGACAGGTAATATACAGGGTGGGGCAATAACTACGTCCACTTTGAATATTGCCGTTATTTGTAATAATATGAAAAAATGTTATATAAAAAACATACACGGTATAGAGGGGGGCATGTTGTGACACTGGTGAATAATATACATGTACAGTGTGACACTTTCATATCCCCACACTTTACGTCCTACATATACACGTGTTTGGAAATGGTCCATCGAAAAACAGGGGTCGTCGACCATAATCAGTAACAATTTAGATTTCTGTAGAATCAAATACAGTGAATACACGTTTATTCGAGAATATACGAACGTTTCGATAAGGCTGGTCCAGACCACAGTCGTTTGGCCTTCGGTATCCAATTAATCGACGCGGGAACGTTCTGTTCCAATCGGTCGAGGCGAGGTTTCCTCCGTGCCGTTTTCACGTAATATCCGTATTTTCACCGTGAAACGGGGGATGGTGGGGGTCGAATAATCAGACCGGCGTGAAAATAAAATCGGGCTGTCCGTGTCGCGATAAAACCACCGAGGGGCCCGAGAGGAAAAGAGTAATACGCGATACTTTCCTGTTCTCCGTGCGTTCGAAAGTCGAAGTCAGGCTATAATCACCTGCGCTACCAGTTCTGCCGTTATTCCGGCGCAAATCGTTCGGTTATCACAATGAGAAAGTTGTATGTGTGCATGCGCGCGAGCGCACCAACGAGAAACGTACGTTTCCCTGGAAATAGCTCTGTCGATCCGTGATCGGTGCCACGACGCTAGTATATACCCACTTGGATATCTAATTTAGACGCGTATCAATGTACACGGAGGATCGTATCGCGTGTATATACGTATGCATGTATATCGTCATCCGTTAGAGTATCATGTTTTGCGTCCTGTATCGGTGCCCGACCTGCGATTATTTTCCATTTGCCACGGCAAAACGAGGTTGATGCGGATCAGTGTCGCGAAATCTTTGCCGTTTACAGACGAACGAGGCCGTGGGGTCTCTTGTACCCTCACGAGCAAACTCGGCTTCTCTAGTCGAGTTTTTCTAACGAGGGTATACTGACGTGCAATCTCGGTTTCCGCTAGGGAAAAAAGTAGTGTAGGGAAAAGGCCTCCTACCATGCTCGTACCACTTGGTATTGGAAATTACTGAAGTTTATGCCGAATAAACATTTGGTTTAATCGTTCACTGGAAGCTAAGTGTGTACGTGCTCGAGCAAGAGTTGAAATGTTCGGAAATTGATTCAGAATAATCGTGTGAAATAACTAAACGATTGGAAGATCTTGTCGCCTCTTTCTATAATCCTGTCGCACCTTTTTGTAATTGCATCACCTCTCTATAAACGCGTCACCAGTCGCAAGCGATACTATACGCAAGGAACGCCGCACAATCTTCTTCGTTTTTTTTTTTATTAAAAAAAAAAGTCGAATCCCACTCGCGGTATTATAGGCAGAGAACAACCGTATTATCATTTTACTCGTAATTACAGACAATCAAGTCCCACGCCCACGATTTTATGACGCGACTCGGACCATATTTCTCGCCGGTTTTCCCACATTCCCGATTAAAGTCCAATTATTTTAAATGCGTCCACGGAGGAGGGCGACACGCCTCGAGCGGACACATCCTGGTCGCGTGACATCGATACTTCGCGAGATCTCTGCATTTCTTTTTTTCTTCGTCTTTTTACACCCGAAGCTCCTGAAAGGCAAGACCAGGACTCGGGACAGAGCGCCATGGACACACACGCATCTCTGCATGGGTCCCACAATCACGGTGTCGTGGCCCTTGAATGGCTACTTGCTGGAAATGAAAGTAACGCGTTCCGAATGCCAGCGCATACATACCCGACCAGATATCTCGACTTGTGTCTCTCGATTCTCTTTCTCTCCCGTCACCGCGGGTCTCCTTCTACGAACAAACACGATCCCCGTGTATAAGCGCCTGGAACGTGGAGCCTCGATTTGTCCTTAAGCCTGGCGTAAACGCTGAAAGACAGCCAGGGATCCGTCCTTGAACGATAAAGCTCTCTCGCATTCTCCGACCGTCGGCCCCGTTACGGCCGAGTGTAGTCTCGTTATTCCGTGTTGGTTCCCAGAGACCTGCGGAATTCTCGGTAAGACGGGGCCTAACGCCGTACATCCATTCTCGAAAAAAAAAAAAAAAAAAGAAAAAAGTGACCGGAAGAGAAGAGGAGCTTCCGGGTAACTGTACACTCGAGCGCGTGCTTTCCTGCCGTGAATGAATCAGGCTTCCGATTTATCGGGTCTGCCTACGACGAAATCGCTCGATTCTGGGTAGTCGAAACGGTCTGGAAGTGGTAGGGACGATTCGCAGCTAATTACAGTGGGTGATCGGTTAACGAACAGTTCGAATAACGAACACATCTGCTGTTAAGGATCTTTTGAAGAAGTGGGAGGATGTCAGAATAATGGCACCCAAATCATGTTGAGGTCAATAGGCTTGGGGATCTCTACAACGACTATGCTATTAATCACTTTCGAAGAATCCTGAATAACAGAAAAAAGCAATCGACATTAGACACATTAAACCGTAATTTCATAAAACCGTAAATTTCTTTCGAATATTCCAGTCATTTTCGTTTCATTCCTTGGAACCCCATAGCTGAAAGTGGCCTACGACACTGAGTTCGGTGGGACACCATGGGCCACCGATGATCGAGTACCAATGGTTTAACCACGTTTATGGCTAACGATATATCCTCGAAACAGCTATAACACCTTATCGAAGTATTTCGAACCATTCCATTCCATATTCGGCCACATCCACACCCCGAGTCTCTCTATGCCCTGAATTAAACCACCCAGAGCTGTTCGGGGGTGCATTATCGCCAGGTTGCTGCTCGTGATTTAGAAGGGTTGATTTAGAAGCATCCTGTACAACAAACGCTGTCCATTCACGGCTGGTTGGTCGAAATCTGAATGGGGAATTGGTCTCGAGCGGGGCAGAAGCAAGAGGAGAGTCCGAGGCTGCTGCTGGCGGCGGCGTGTAACGTTCCCCGCGATTCATAAGCCCGATAAAAGACCCGCCGCGGATAGCTTATGGTGCCCCTGGCCTGTCTCTCTATGTGTCGAGATTTACCACCGGTGCGCGCACGTTGCCGCAACACGGGAGAGTCCAGTTTCACTTTTCGTGGCGAGCTGCTAAACGGCCAGAAATCTTTCTACCGGTCTATAGACGTCGTTGCGAAATCCTCATTGTCTTGGGGGGGGGGGGGTTTGGACGGCCTCGTGTACTCCGGGTATGCCTTGTGAAATAGATGTTCCTTGGACCGTATTAATACGGACGTTGTAAATTGTTCATTGTCGAATCCGACCCAGGAGGAATGTTTAATAATTGCTAGCTATATGATTGGTCTGTTTCTCTCTGTTTTAGGACCAGTTCGAGAATCTATCCCTGCACACGCAAAAAGGGATAGAGTTCCTCGAAAGGTATGGCCATTTTATTCGCGATCGGTGCGCCATCGAAGTGGAGTACGCCTCGAAGCTCAGGTAAGGAATTTGAGCGAAGAGATTTCCGTCGACCGTGTCGTTTGTCGTTCACCACCTGTATTATATCCCGCGTATAATAAACGATAAACCACGGGGGATTATTCATCGTGGCTGTGTACGATGTCGAATGGGAATGGGTGGGGGGAACGCCTCCTCGTTCTCTCGTCGCGGTTCTCCTTTTGTACATAAATTAACAAAGGGCGGGAGTATCCGAGGTTAACGATTTCAATGGGACATCCTGTATAATGAGCGTGTCTCACGCACCCCACGAGTTCACGGACACACAAGATGCAGAGAGAGAGAGAGAGAGAGAGAGAGAGCCGGTGGTGATATTGTAGTAAAGGGCCCCCTTGTTTGTCCCGTGAATGCCGTCTACTGTTGCACACTTTTGTTCTAACGGGTGTCTCGTGAGAAAAGAAAAAAAAGGGAAGAAAAAAAAAAATGCAACCGAACATCCCCGGCTTATTTTCCTTCGTTCGCATAATTTGAAGCCCAAAGTCCGTAATCACGTCTTTGTTCATCGATTGTACTCGAAGCCATAAGACTAATCAGGGATTAACGTTCATTAACGTGTGTTTCTAGTGTTACACAATATATCATTAAATAATCCTCCGGGGAAATATCAGAGCACCAAGTTCTGTAATTCGAACATCGAGTCGAAGGCTTTAATACTGAACCGACGAGTGGTTAATCGATGATCTTACGTGATTTCTGAAGTCATCTCTGGAAATTTCAATTGTATCTGTGATTACGGAGAACTGCACAAAGAATCGTTTGTGCTCTACAGATTATCGCTACCAGTTTCCATTGGACCGAAGCTCCCCTCTCAGGTTTATCCGGGGACAATCGAGGTTGCCGTCGTTTTCCGGGAATCAAACGAAAAGATCGAATCATCGTTAATTTCACATATGTTAGGTTGGCAATCTAGGATGAATTTATCAGCGTAATGGCGAACCTGGAGAACGGATCCAGCGTTACACATATTATACATACATCCATCCATCCCCGGGCACGTTCGTTCCGTTGCATATAAATTATCGCGAGCACGTTCCTCGTGGCTTAACGTGCCGTAATTTCAGCGATACACGCTCGTGTTACTCGTACAAATGGAGTACCGTTTTACCAAGCCCCCCCCCCCCCCCCCCCCCCCCCCCCCCCATTCTCGTTATCTTCCGGTATCTCGGTCAGTTAACACATAAAATTCTGTTCCATCCGGCCGCGGAGCTTCTCTTCTGAGAAAGCATATGTGTCATTGTGATAGAAGGGAGAGACGTATGGGAAACGGAAAAGAATACAAGCTGTTCCAGACTCGATTGTTGCATCCACAAAATCTTTGAACAGCGATCTACTTACTCGAGAATAAATTATCCAATATTTTCGAATGGTGAAACCTAGCGAAAGGTGACTCGACAGTTGACTCCAAAGTACGCACTGCTCGAATCAATCAGGGGATCGGTAATGGGAACGATCTTACTGCAATCCAACATAAGAAAGAAATAAAATTACGTAGGTTTATTGAATCGATTTTTTCTCTATGTCAATACCAACGTTATTAACACCTAGTTACATTTGTAGAATGAAACTTCTCGGTGATTATAGTGTCCTATCGACGGTCAGAGCAACTGCAATACACGATTCTCCGATTGTTTCGAGCAGCCGTAGCTTTTCCAATCGGACGTGCATGTACTCAAGCTGGCCAAGACGTCTATGTGGGTATACGAAGCGATTTTCAGTAGTTTTCGGAATCGTCGACCGTTCTTTCACGAACCTTTTTCCGGCCGACGAACGTACGTGTGGTCGATCTGGTAAATATCAAGGACACACGTCAACTTCCGGACGATAGTGCATTCAGCAGCCCGAACACACACGCACATAATTATCGCATCGTGGCTCGACGTTCTGTTCGAATTAGAATGTGTCGTCGACGTGCTTACACCCGTTATTCTGCATGCTGTTCGAATGACTAAACATACCCTAATTCTCCTCGAGGACAAAAAAATCCGCAGTGTGTCCCTCTCTTTTTACAGACAACACCGTGTAAATTCACGCGACTGCGTCGCGAACTACGAAACCACTTCTACTTCCGGTTGTGAGCCCTCGATTCTCGACATTCTGACCTGAAGGAAGAACGACACAGACCGCAGACGGCTCTGAATAAGGAGACATTGCGTGTTTAGATCCCCCTTTCCCCCATGAAATCATCCTCTGTGTTGATTTTAGTCTGTTGGTGTCTTGCAACGAGACGCAATTGTTGTCCATTTAAGGTGGTTCGTGCCAAATTCGAAAGACTCGAGGATTACATAAAATTCATACAAATTGTTTGTTAGAACGAAATACACACACAAAAGAATTTAATAAGAAAATGAAGTATAGTCTTTTCTGTTCATAAAAAGTAGAAATGCTAACTAACTAAAATTTCTGACTGAGCATGACCCCTTAAGGTCACAGAACCAAAGAACAAATGCGGTTAGGGAATCATGGATACGAAATAGGGGTGCGGGGCGCTACCGTGCATCGGTAATCGTGTTTCGTTTCTGATTACAGACGTCTCGTGAAGAGCTATCAGCCGAAGAAGAAAGAGGAGGAGGATTATCAGTGAGTATCAGCCAACAGTAGTAGAAGGCCCTCCCGTGTGTAACACCGGATCCACGGCTCCGGCACACGGATTTTCTACCCCCTTCCCCTCGGCCGTCTCGAGTATAACGCTAGAAAATAAATCCGATCTCGAAATCCATCCAAGTGACGGTGTGTTTTGCTTTTCTCTGCTCGACGCGTAAATCACCTTTTAATAGACGATCTCCATCCGAAGACGGACGATCTCTAGCCGGAGAATACGGCTCGTTTCCCAGGAGGAATTCTGCCTTGCCGTCTGGCATTCAGCCCACTTTTTTACGTTCCGTTCTTTCGTTCGCGATCCCCCCTCCCTCTCAGATATTCGTTTCCTTAAGATATCGATGTTCCGAGTCGGTTTCGAATGGGTTTCACCGATCGTAGGAGCCAGGTGCAAATAGACCAAGGGAAACGGTCTCGTGTTCCGTTGGAGGAGGGCAGGTGCAAATATTGGGTCAGTAAGTATGAACCTTGACAAATAGAAGATAACATCTGCAATTTGCCGATTTGAGCCAAACGAGGCAATATGGTAACTATGTATATCTGTCCTACATTATTCACCGTTGACTCTCAGACATTGTGGGTCCACGGCAGAAATCGTATTAAAAAAAATTACACGAATTTTCGACTTTTCCATCGTTCTAGAAAAACGGGTCACCGGATGAAGCTAATATAAATATTTTAACAAACAAATATAACCTAACGTGTGTTACTCAGATTAACGCCAAATGGGAGACGATAAATGTGTGCGTTTTGACATTTGTCAGGTTTCATGCTGAATCACCCAATAGATCGACCGAGTGAAAACGTCAATCGTGTTCCATCTTCTTTAATAATTCCGCCGCGGCGGTGGCGGCACGAAACGGTAGCTAATCTTTTATCTGTACAGACGTGGGCGGGTCGCTTTATAAGTTCAGTAACTCGCTCGGTTCAACGCCTACGGGCCTCTAGCCACTGTTTCTTTCCGCGCCGTTGTGTGGCCTTCTCGTTACGTCTTGTCTGTCTTGTTTCGGCTCGTACGTCATATTCGTGGGCCGTGATTGATCCCTGCCCATCTCCGACGGTTAGATATCCAGGAACGAGGACAACATCGTGGGGTTGGGGATGGTTATCGTCGACGTGTTTCGGCGGCAATTTTTCGTTTTTCTACGCGCAGGTTCAGCCCCTGTCGGGCGTTCAAGATGGAGCTGAACGAGGTGAACGATCAGGCGGGTCAACGCGAGGTGATCGCGGAGAACCTCCAGGCAAACGTGCTCAGGGAATTGAACATACTGGTGAAAGACTTCAAGGAGGATCGTAAGAAGCACCTGCAGGAGGGCGCCCGATTAATGGCGACCCTGACCGGGCAGATCGGGAATCTGGAACGGGCGAGGAAGGCGTACGAGAAGGCCTTCCGCGAGGCGGAGAGATCGGTCGAGAATTATCAGAGGGCGGACGCTGATCTACACCTTTCGAGGGCGGAGGTACGTGGCCGAACATACTTGATTATCTGCTGTATCTGGGTAAACGCGTCGGACATTTTGGAAATTTTTTAACTATTAAAGTCGAATTTCAAATGATGATAATATTAATAAATATTCGGCACGTGAAAAGTAGTTTTTTTTCATTTATATAAAAGTAAATGAAAATTTCTAACCAATGGCGCGGAAATTGTTTGAATATGAAACAAGCAATTTTTATCTAACTTATTGGCGGATGTCCTCAGGTCGAGAAGCAGAGAATGAACATGACGTTGAAGACACAGCAGAGCGAGGAGGCGAAAACGGAGTACGCGAATCAGTTGCAGAAGACAAACGAAATGCAGACGTTGCACTATCACACGGCCATGCCAGAGGTGTTTCAGCACCTTCAGGTACATATTCTTACACCATACGCGTGTCTCTTACAAACGGTGTTCACGAAGTGATACATACCGATTTTTCTGTAAGAAATTAAAAAAAAAAAAATGTTTTTAAAATTTTTTCATGCCGATATATAGACAACTAAAATCGATATAAAATTTATCGAACCTTTTTCTCGATATCTTTCGTAGTTCACGAGTTACAAATGTATAAGTAAAAGGGATATTGCGGGATAAAAGGGGTGGTGTTTCTACCTTGAAGTACGTCAAAAATCTTCGGTTGATTCCACAAAACAATTGAGCAAAGTTACACAACACTCGAACGTGTATCACTTCGCGAACATGCCTTGTTAGCTCGTTGCCCCACCGTTCGCAGGATTCTAAATGCTTTATATTCCGTCGTAGGAGCTGGACGAGAAGCGAATAAAGAACATGCGGAATTACATGCTGAAGTCCGTGGAGATCGAGAGAGCGGTGGCGCCGATAATCTCACAGTGTTTGGACGGTGTCGAGAAGGCGGCGAACGAGATTAACGAGAAAGAGGACACGATGCTGGTGATCGAACGTTACAAGAGCGGGTTTCTGCCGCCCGGCGATTTCCCGTTCGAGGATTTGTCCGTGGCGAAGACCTACGACAGCAATAGTCAGTTGTCGCAGCCGGTGATGCAACCGATACACAATCATTTGACGGCGAAGGGTACCGTTTCCGGCGGCAAAATCAAGAAGAGGGTCGGCCTCTTCGGGATATTCAGTAGCAACAAGGTAAATGTTGTTCGTACGCGGCAACCTGGGAGCAGCCAGTAGCCGAATCGTGACACGACTACGAACATCCATCCGTTCACCCCCTGTATCACAACCAGGAATGTTCGAACAGGAAGGGAAAGGAAATAGTGACAATGTCGTGCACGATGTACCGAGACCCCTACCTTTGTCTTTGTTTTTCTTTTTGTATTTTGCATCTCCCGTACCATCGTGTAATAGACTAGCTGCAATATGCACACAGATTTTGTCGAAGCATGAACGATATACTCTTACTGGCGACTTGCGTCTATGTCTCTCGGAAGTTTTCCTTTTTGACGATTCTTTTATGTTTAGCGCCGTGTCTGTGCTCGATACTCTTGTCAATTAATTATTTTTGATTTGGATTAGCCGGCGAAATGCATCCCGATTGCTCGCGAGATCACACTTATATCTTTCTCCAGTACTGTTTTTTTTTTTTTATTAATTTGGCGGATGGTTCGATCTGCCTCTGTGGTCGCTCTTGTTTCCGATCACCCCCGGGGACTGTGAATTTGGATACGATTGCGCTTTCGTAAGTACGTACGTCCATGGGATCGCTTGTTCGCCTGCCTGCCGCGAATGTTTTAACACCAGCAGCATCTTCTCTGCATATTCGAGACTGTAAAATACAGAGAATAATTGCGTGTCGTTTAGATTGTGTGTGTGTGTGTGTGTCTTGTCGGTCGAGTAGAAACTCAGAGGGCCTCGAAAGTGTCTGGAAATGGGTTCACTTGTGACGTGATATGAAATACAACAATGTTTCGCTGAGTTTTTACTCAACGCGCCATCGCGTGTGACGATAGTTTATCGATTTATTCGCTAAGTGATATACGCTTTTGGACTTTGTTTCATGCGAACAACACAGAAGTTGATCGAGGTGTGCATAGCTTTAAAGGTCTGTCCTTCTCTTTACAATCGCCCGTCGTTGTCTTTTGTTCAACAGCCCTCGCCAGTATTCTCGAGAACTGTTTTTTCATCTCATTTTTGTATTTTTCTGTATACAACAATCGCATCTGCATACGTGTATACCTGTATACTTTCTCATCCACGGTATATATATATATAAAAATATATTTCCTTTTAACGATCAGTTTGTTCAGCTCCGAGTATGCCCGTGATAGTGATGCATAACATCCGTTGATACTTTTGTTCCACCGTTAATTTTTTCTTTATCATACCCGTAGAGATTAACCCTTTTAGTCCGTTGAATTTCTGTATGCGAAAACAGGTGCCGCAGCTGTGCACGGTGTATTATGCATGTAGTCGAATCGGTGAAGTCGAAAGCTTCTAAGCTGAAAGGGTTAATTGCTGCAATATGTAACACGGAATCGAACACGATGGAAAAGGACACGCAAGATTCTCACTGTTACGTATTGTACCCTTGGTTGCACTCACCGCGTGCCATCTATTTTTCGTTTTCCATCCGTACTTAACATCATCCGTAGAGATACACGCTCATCTCTTGTCACGTTTCCCAGATACTTAACCGAAACAATTCCAGAACAACGTGCCTGGATATGGGGACGGGGCGAAGGAGGACTGCAGCGATCTGCCGCCGAATCAGCGCAAGAAGAGACTGCAACAGAGGCTCGACGAGATCCAGGCGAAGATCCAGCAAGAGACAGCGGCGAGGGACGGATTGATGAAGATGAAGGGTGTCTACGAACAGAATCCAGCGCTAGGCGATCCGATGAGCATAGAAGGACAACTGAATCAATCGAGCAACAAGCTGGATAAACTTGGCGCGGAGCTGGCAAAGTTCCAAGGTTATCTCGAGGAAGCGATGCGCGCTGGCGTCAGTCTGTCCAGGTGACCTTGCGAGATCCCGTAGACTCGAATACAGTAGGATATTCCATTTTCTCGAGAACTGTCGGAAAACGAGCCACTTTATACGATTATGATGTCTAGGTAATCAGAGTTCAGATAACGCTAGGTATTTGTGATTGTTCGGAGCAAGAATCAATGACACTTGTCTGTATCTAGAATATATTTAGACTAAGATAGATGTGATCGTTTGTTGGCAGTCTCGATAACTCTGTAAATGTACAACGTATTTCGGATGAATGATATTCTACTGCATTCACGATCTAGTTGGCCCGGCGTTACGGTAAATTGTACGTTGTTGAAATTTTCCAGTCCCAGCCAAGCGCCACGGAAACCGACCAGCAACGGCTCCGCAACCAGGCCATTAAGTTCAAGAAGATCGAGCCATTCGGGAGGCGAGGAGAGCCTTTCAAGATCAGCCTCGGATTCCAGTGTGAGCAACGCGAACGCCAACCAACCGATACACAAGAAAAGTGCACCGGGCACGCCGCAGCCCACGCACGGGTAAGCATTTGGAAATCAATGGATAAGCTCATAATCGCGAATTTCGTTTGGTTTTTTTTTGGGACCGATCGGACAGGCAGGATTTCTTTCTTCTTCTCTTATTTCCCTCTCCCACTCTCAATCTGTCTTTTTGTTTTCTCTCTTAACGGAAGAATCGTTGCGATAATTGCGAGTCTCTCTGAACTCGTCTAAAATACAGATCAGAATTTTTTAACTAGACCAATTAGACACGCTTTTCGCTTTACGGTACTGATGCACAGTTCCACGAATAGCCCGGAATCTGGTCTCGGTGAATCGAGGACGTCTCTTCCTGGTAGCGGCGGCGAGGAGTATTATGTCGATGAAATTGACGCTCAACCACCGCTGGGGACCTGTCGAGCTCTTTATCCTTTCGACGGTACGTGTGTTCGAAAAATCACGGTCTTTGTAGCTCGTTCTGCGCATGTGTGTGTGTGGAAGCGTCCGTCACGGGAATATGTAAATCTTTATATTTTTTGTCTTCAGCTACCAGCGAAGGGTCCATACCTATGTACGATGGGGAAGAGTTGTACATGATCGAGTTGGACCAAGGGGACGGCTGGACCCGAGTGCGACGCATTTCACAGCCGATCGAGGGCTTTGTACCTACATCTTACATAGAGTGCCACCTCTATAACACTTAGCCACTACTCTTAGGACGTTAAACAATTACGAAGTGCGGAGAGTCTGAGAGAAGATACGGAAAAAAGGTCCTTTGTATGCTGTTCTTGTTCAATACGGTACATTGAACGACCGAAGAATAGCAGCTACCTTATGAGATTTCGCAGTGGAGGGTCATGTGTTTGGCTGATTGGCGCGCAGGATTTTCAGGACGCTCCGTTGTCGAATAATCGTGGGCCTAAACGTGTTACCGAACTGTTTCCGTACGAACGTGAATTTATAATTATGTGCCAACGGGTGGTCCCGACTTGTTTGGTGATGATCGCGCCGCGAAACGGTATTTAGTCAATTACGCCCAAGCACACTTCCCTCTGGTTTCTGTTTGGCTTATCGAACAGGGAAAAGAAACAGAGTGACGGTGTTTTCGGATACTCTGGCTTCTCTCTTCAGCGACACGTTCGTGAAGTTCGGCTCAATTATATCTGAATAGGATATTAAGATCGATCGTTTGTAAGAATATACGATCGTCGTCGTAACGCGCGTTGAATACTTCTGAAGTACCGGTACCGTTTTCTATTGAGGAAGCACCCTGATCACTTGACAGACCGTGGAAATGTGCCTCTGTACTTTGGTCGTGCACAAGCGAACAATTTGCAACACTGCTGAAGAAAGTAATGTACTTTTCATATACATATAATACGCGTTCTGCCTATACACACACACACACACACACACGTCACACGGACAAATTGCGATTGTTGTAACTGCACCAGTTTTATCTACCTTATTTCCCCATATATCGATTGTAAAGCAGGCGACCTACGGACGATTCATCCTATCTCTGCCGATGACCAAGAAACTGATTCGTTCTTAGTGCTTTTGACGATTCGGTTCTGTATTGATTTTTTTTTTTTATACTTAAACGTACATAAAAGGTGCATTTTGTATTAGTATCTGTTTCTTGCCTCTGTCAACGATAGGAAAGTGACTACTTTACAATTCTCCCGGGTCGTTATTGTCTTCTATTGTTGTATTAGTTTATTAATCGACGTCTTCGTTTTTAAACACACAAGATGAGGGTGATTAGGTGGTGCTCTGTACAGCATGTAGACTCCGAAAGATTTGGTCGGCCAAGTTTTTGTTTCTACGACGTTGCCTGGATGTGAATTTAGTTAGGATATATATTTCTGTACATATTGCAAGGGATTATGGGAGGAAGAACGGGAGCGAGTGGTACGTGTGTGAGTGCCAGATTCGATGTATCCTGCGAGGCGTCGAGTTGTCCCTCCGTCGGACAGGGAACAAGTGTTCGAAACGGTGGCGTTGAAAACCTTTCCTTTTTTTCTTTTTCTTTCTTTTTCTTACTCGAAAACGCCCCGTTTCCACGCGTTCAGAGGGAAATCTCAACGATCGCTGTTTACAAAGCCTAGATTCGTCCTAGATTCGATTGCGATGTATCGAAATCGTGTAGTCGTATATATTCTCGCGTATTAAGAAAATATGTCTATGTATATAATTATATGTATAATGCTATAATCACTCATCAAAAGGAATGTAGCTTCGGTATACAAGATATGCAAGTACGCCAATTAAAAGAAGACGAACGTGAAAGGAATCAGTGTGCGCGGCTCCTCTTCTGCCGCAGCCGCTGCTGCTGCTGCTGCCAGTTCAATAGCAAACTTCTTTACGCTCCGACGCGCGCAATTTCGATCGCTAAAAGTCTTGTCGCGTTTCGAGGGATCGCCAGAGTAATCGGCAAGACTTTTATGATTTTTTTTATTTGTTAATTTATCGATTAGTTGCGGTAGCGTCGAGGAGCTTTAGAATAATTGCGGGAATCGATAGAATATTCTCGCGTGCGGTCCGTCGACTTCAGCGGAAAGTCCAGACGAAAAGTACTTTCCGCTCGAGCACACCGATCGCGCGGATAATAGGCCGTGTATCACTTTGTGAAAGTGAAAAAAAAAACGATATAAGTAAATGATGCTGGAAGGAAAAAAGGAATAAACGAAAGTCCGTATATCTACCTTAATTCTTAACATTAAACCGCGTCCATTCTATGTATATTTTGTGATTTTATATCCATGAACAAGTATTGTAGATAATTAACTCTGTGACTCATTATACGTTTAATTATTATTATTATTATTAATATTGAAAAAATATAGGTACTAAACCAATGTGTTGCGTTGGGACCTGTCTTTTTATGCTATCACCGTGCAAGTTCAACTTCCTGCCTTTTCTAACGTAACACGATGCTCTCAGTGAATCATTGATAAATAATCATGAGGGAGGTGTGGCCGAGTAAATAACGACAGGAAACTCTGTTTTTCTTAAAGTATATTGCAACATTTCGCGGACAATTGACTAGATCGGAAATACAGAGTAATGCGTTCTGATGTGTATTGTGCATGTACACATAGCTACGTATAAATTAAATATAAACATTCTTGCGAGCATGCAAGTTCATAATATACATACCTAAATACAGAAAAAAAAATGGTAGATTCTCACATGATCAACAGTTATACCCGGATTACGCTCTTTTACGTGTACACTTTTTGCTTGCGTTTCTTTTATACAGTCGAAGTAACAATCGATTATGGCGAGGATGTTTAAAACAGTCGATCGCCCGTACATTTGGCAGTCGTAAGATTTCTTTTTTGCTGTACACAAAATATGTCGCAATATGTCAAGTCCACGCATAAAAAATAATAAAACGTATCTTAAATTTACAGGATACTTGATCGGAGTTAGTAAAAAGTATGAGAGTAAGTTGGATCGGCGGCTCGCAATGTTTCGCGACGTCGATCACAGGAGAAATACCCGGTCGAACGAGCGAGCCTCTGATTAAAATCTAGAGAAAAAAGAAGAGAAGAAAACACACGGTACAAAAGAAGAGTAATGACGATCGATCGAAATTCATTCACGAGATCAATGAAAAAAAAGTTTCAAGTACGCGGTAAGTCGGCTGATTAAGTACTCGAGGAACATCGGCCCACAAAGTGTTACTTGGTCGCCTATGTGGTTCTTGCCACGTTGTCGCCACGCCCGTTTTAGGTCAGTCATATACACTGTCACTGTACAAAATACTCGCTATTTGTTCCTAAATTGCGCAGCGATCCGTTTCGCGAGCTCCTGAACAATCTCAGTCAAGATAAATGGAAGCAAGCTACGTCCACATAGGATGAACATTCAATGATCGGGCCCCCTTTTGGCAGATTCGATTGCATTCCTTGAGCTACGGATCCGTTTCAGATAGTAAGATCTTCCCAGTCCTCGACTTGCCTGGGCGTTAATTCGATTCGAATTTCAGTCAAGGTGCCGAGAAGATCGTGCATCCTGCGCGTCAACGGATTCGCCTGCAGATCGATAAATTCGAGTACAGGAGCGTGCCTGATTCTTTCGACATCTATGTCTGAAACTGGAGAATAACATTATGTTAAAACACGGATGAGATTGTCTTCGTCTGAAATACAATAGAATTATTGGGAACATTCATTCTGCACCGAAGCTTACAAAACCTACCAAGGATGGAGTTATTATTGGCATGAAGATGCTTCAACTGTGGTATCCGGCAAGTAACTGGTGGCAAAGCAATGAAAGTATTATGCGAAATGTTCAGCCTCTCTAGGGCTTGCAGTTCAGAAAGTTCCTCTGGCAACTTGCTCATTTGATTGTGACTCAGATTCAGTTCTAGAAACAATCATCCATTTGAATTTCGTTTACAGAGAGATTTTGCTGCTTGAATGAAAAAAATACATGGATTTAAAGTAGCAGTAAATAGTTAGGGAGGAAGACAAAAGACAACATATATTCAGAGTAGAGCCTCATTCAAAGTATAATCGGACTCACCTGTGATAAGTGAAAATTTTACAGCAAACTTTGGTGGAATCTTTGTTATCACATTCCCGGATAGATCGCACCTTTTCAGTTCCGTGTGTCTCATTAAATGATAAACTGCATCGGGTACCTGCATTAACTGGCATTCTGATAGATCTGAAACATTAACAGAAAATAACATAATAAATAACTTCACAGGAAATAGAAGTCTATATAATTGACGTGATCGAAGCACGGTGATAATAACTGTATCCCTTGTATCGTGTTCATGACAGATCAGCTGTCGAATTAGGTCAGTGTATCAATAGTGTATGCAGCGGTGTTACAGTATGTATATCACGAATAATAATTGAATTTTGCATTTTCAAAACATTGGTCGTGACACTATTTCGTTCATGTTACTTCTATTTCACGCTATGAAATAAAAACTGTACGAAGAATCGTGTCATGTTCCGAAGAATGATATGCCCCTTTTTTTATAAAACCCGCGATACACCTGTGGCAGTAGTGAAAACTAGGTCAGGAACTAGATCAATTTGGTGCACGCGATTGACCGATTTAAATAGAATACGCGAAAATGTCAACAGGACACTGAGTACCGAGATCCAGGAATAACAAACTTCTGATATCATTTGTAAACAACAATTTACCGAGGTTCTTGTTTTCTTGTGCTTCTTCGCAGCGCAACACCACTCTCGTGACGGCGTTCGCCATCTTGCTGAGCCTGACTGACTCACTGCAAGTTCCCAAATCAGACGTCTGGCCACGCTGCGGGGAAACATTTATTTTCGACGAATTTCAAGAATAAATAGTATCCGTTTAGCGGCCTTGGCTTTCATTCTACTCTCCGGAAATTCAGACATTTCCACGAACACACACAGAACTGGCGATTATTTTTCTAATGCGTTTCTTGCACTTGCATATTTTTATGCGACTATCGTACCTTTCGTGTGATCGGTAAAAATTGTAAATTTTTAATTTGAATTTTAACGAGTAGGAAAACTTGTGTCGGTTACATTTGAGCAGCGTGAAAACAGACGCGAGACACTCGCTTGTTTGATAACGCGCCAGAACTTCTCAGTCGCCATGTTTTTTGCGCTTGCGTCGTTGTATTCAGTTTGTTCCCGCGTTCTTCGTGATTCGGATCGAGAACGTCTCGTGACTTGAGTTTTTTGAAAATCTTTTCACAGAAATCAAGTCGATTAGTATGGCCTCCTACTAGGTAAAAGAACATTTAACCAGACGTTATTATTTGCAGGAAATAAGGTAACATATGCGTTAGTTTTCACTCAAGAAACATTTAACTTTTCAGACGTTTAAAAAGTTTCGACAACGAAGAACCGTTGCTTTTTGTGATGCGTCCAAAAGCAATCTTATGGCCCTTTTGTTACGGGAAACACGTTATCCCGTGAGAATTCCGACGTTATTAACCGAACGAGCTAACCGGCTATGTTTTACCGTATGTATTGACAGTGACGATGACTTTTTGCAATAAAGTAGTAAATGGCTTCGGCGGCAAGCTGCCATTTAAGGTTACGTTTCCCATACATGGTGGCGCCTCCCGTACCTGCATGCATGCATGCAGGGATGGTTACATTCACTCTCATTTCGCCGTGTGTGTTGTGTTGTAGGTATGTACACGCGATTTGATCTCTGCGTGTTACAGGGGCGGGGAAATTATTCTTCACATTTATAAATCTGAATCAGAAATTAATCTACTTCTGGGCAAACAGGTTCCCTTTAAACCGTATCTATTCCCGTCGGTACGTATATATAGAACATGTACTAACGTAAATGTTTTCTTTTTTTACAGAGTATCGTGCATGTTGGTGGGATAAACGTTCAAGGTGAATCATTCGTTGAAGTACCAATTTCCGGTCTGATGCAAGGAAACGATACCAGAAGGAAGTAGATAGACGGTCAGCAATATCTATCGGTGAGTTTGTATACATATATACTCTATTTAAATGCTTCATTTTCAAGAACAAATGCTGTGCGACAATTTTTTGTTCTCGAAGAAGATTTAAACATGTACAGACGCGAAAACAATAGAATTAAGTACCTCAACCGAAATGAGTAATCCGTCGCGAGCACCATTTAAAAAAGATCAGGAAGATGGACCGATTCTCTCGTCCGGCATGCAAAACGTGCGGCGTTCACTCTGCCAAGGCCCCGTAGCGGTTCACTATTCCGAGATTGACCTTTCTCGCATACGTGATCGCCACCAAAACGTGCAACAGATCTTTCCCGCTGATGGACGGACCGTTGTAACTGCGTAACGATATCAGGCGTCAACGGTCGGCAAACGTAGACACACACTCGAAATAGGAACGATATTTCGGTGAACTGGAATAGGCGCATTGTCTCTAGAATCGCATTGAAATACGTTATAATTCGTTTCGCGAAGTTTCCCGCGTTACGGTAAAAAAAAAAAAAAAAAAAAAAAAAGCGAAACGGTAAAAAGGTACGGAATAGAAGGCGCGCGCGTAGCGGTGGTACATACCATTAAAATCGCATTGTCTCGTTTCTTCACGGTACACTCGGTTTCCTATCGTTTCCACGTAAATTACCGAGAGGGTCGTGAAGTTTCCGCGCTGACGCTTGAATCGAGCCGCCTTAAAGTCATGTTCACAATGAAAAGAGCAACCACGCGTCTGCCGGCCAGCAACAAGGAACAAAGACCGGACACATGCACATCGTGTATGTTGTGCAATGCAATGTTTATCCGAGCAATTATCTATGCCAGAGAATCCCCCCGACCGCGCGAGCATTTCACTTTTATTCCGATTGATGCACGGCCGAGGGACTCCGACCACCTGTTACGTATGGTGTATGTGTGTGTGTGTGTGCCTACCTGACGCCGTCCGACTAGCATTAGAGTGCCACTATCGCCACGATATGCACATTGCGGTCGAATCGAGCGTTACAACACTCTTGTGTTGCGCTTTTCTTAATCAGAAATACGAAATCTCCGTGATACAGCAAATAATTCTTGTTGGATCTTTATAGGACTTTTCGAAATACGATATCGATCGTAAACAATTGTTTGAAATAGAACGGGAATACGATGATGTGACGATACAGTGGCCACCAGTCATTGACACTTCCAGAAAAACCGACTCGGTTGATTGTTACTCGGAAGCTTATTGGCAGAGGCGCATTTCTTCCCGTGGATCGTTAACGAGCCGTTATTACGGAGAGAGAGGGAGAGACCACACAGCGTTTGTACGTATCCGTTAGACTCCTTTGAGCGTGGCGAAGTTGTACATACTTCTCGCTCTCGTTTTCACCGCTTCGAGACTTTCGCCAGTTACCGATTAGAAATCTCCCGTCTGCTTTTAACGGATGTATATCTACTTGGTTGCGTTTCGAGTCCCCGCGGAATCGGTTGCTCTCCGTAATAAGAGATTCCATTCCCATGGTACTGGAATCCTGTGTTCTAGACATCAGGGTGTATTTAATGAGTTTCCAAAGCATCGACAGTCAAACCAAAAGCAGGACGAGGCAGCGACATTGAGAATCGCCCTGAAATCTATCCGGGTGTACCGGATAAGGCAAGGACCCGAGGACCCGTTCTTTCCTCCTGGTCGAATCAGGAAGCGAGCCCGCGTGATCTACGGGGTGCTCTGAAAGTATACCTCCCGATCAATCAGCCCGATCGATCGATCCCTGTCGAACGTGACCGTTTCCGCCCGAATGGACGACGCGTAACCACTACTTGCTCGCGAATAATTTGTCACGGTACAGTTTGAAAGTCGAGCTCGTTACGGATCGGTCGAATCAACGAAATCAAGGCCGGCCAGAAACGCGTATCGCGTTGCCAACGTTATTAGTCACCTAACTGAGCGAACCTTAAGGTCATGCGTGTCTATTAATTTGTATTTAACTCTCTGTGTTGCACCTTGTTGCCTCGGTCAGGTTCCAGAGTCTTCGTGGACAAAGGATTCCGACTAGACGTCAGGAAGCAATCATCCAACCACTTTTTGGCCTTTCGAACCGGACACGAAGACATGCAGTTGGATTGTTAGTTTTCAGTGAAACGATATCACTCGTATACTTTCGCGATTTTACACGCGTGTTACGTAATTACTTTCGATTTCTATCGCGATGGGGATGCCGTGGATTGACTCACCCAAAGAATCCACAACCGTTCCTCGAGTAGATTATGCCAGTAGGGGGTCGGACCACGCGTCGCGGAACCAGTTCAAGTCTCTGAACGGGCGACCGTGCAATATTCACACAGGCTTCATCTGCCGCGAAGTAGGAAAATAGAAAAAGGCTTCGAGAAACTGAACGTGAAAAATAAATCGTTTAATGCCAATTAATCGAACAACGCGAGTCACGATGCGAATGAAGATAACCGGTCTATCGTTGCGATGTCTCCCGTCGCGAGCAACTTTAACGTTCTCCGACCGATTGTCAGTGGGGGAATCTTATCTGTGCATCGATGACTAAAAACTGCGCAGTCCATGATTGTTTTGCTTTCGCTTATCCGCGAAACGCTACTTTTCGGTACGTTCACGTGTACGTTTTCTTCGTGGGGACCAGTCGAGGAAAGAAAGTGCTCGATCCTTAGCCGGGATAATAAAAGCACGGGTGCGAAAGATGGAGTATAGAACACGGTTTCTTTCGCCGACATCGTGCGAAAGTTTAATGCCACAAACGCGGAAAGATATCGTGGCGCGGCGTAGAAAGTAAAAGATCGTCCGAGGGAACAATTACATCGTCCCGATTTTCTATTCAGCTTACGCGATTCTACTGTACCCCCTGAGGGTACCACCTTAACAGCAAGGGCCTCCTAGCACTTGGTAAATTTATTCCAAGTACTGAAATAAATGTGAAATCGAATGTTAATTCGACATATATTTCAATAATTCTCGATACCAAATAGCAGGAGGTCCTTCCGAACGTAACTTTTTCCCCTAGTGGAAGCAGAGTTTGCTCCTAAGTGCACATGTACCCTAGTGTGTCTACTATTTTTGTTGCGTGCAACACCGTCGTACCTAAGCGATTCCTATAGTTTTCATTTGGCCATTGAAAGATCGATCGTTTTGCGATTGAACGATTCAAGTCGAAAATTTGTCTACCACAACAAAGTATAGAACGGTGGCTGAGTTCGACAGATTACACGGTTATCGATCAGAACTTACCGAGGTTACAATTGTCCTGCGCCTCCTCGCAACGGGATACCACCCTGATTATCGCCCGGCCCGCCAACTGCACGCAAACGGCCATCGCCACGTTTCTCTCCCCTTGCTCCTGGGATACTTGTTCATTATTGTACGACGGCGGTCTCATCTCTTAGGACGAACGATGTGATCTGTTCGACTTCTATCCTCCTCCGAAATAATCCTCTCGATTCACCGTGGTCCAATCGCGGAATCCACACTTATACACGTGTCCTATTCTGTGTTCCTCTTCGGAGTATCGGTCTCGAAACGTTTCTTCTACAAGAAAACCGTCACGTCTCGAGTCGGAAAACTTTTAGAACGCGCTCGTAACAGACACCACAGTATTGTATTCCAACGAAACGATCTTCGGGTGTGTTTCGGCTCGCAGAACATCGACGAGAGGGACGATCGTTCTCTCGATCGTTTCCCCGTTCGATCTTTCTTCGAAGCTCGTGACCACCACTGGGGGTGTTGGTATCGCCGCGATTTCTGTTTCCTCCCGGAGCACTGTGATGTACTCGTGTCTGCGACAGGAACAGGAGGAGGAATCGTGGACAACAAGAGCGTTTCAGGTGACGCTGCCTGGCACTGACGTGCCTGCACTCCACTCGGTGCTATTTAAGCCCTCGGCCTCGAGGCGGCTCTCCCACCAGAGCCGTGCATCTTGGATCAGCTGACTACTTTGTTTCGATTCCCTCTCTTTGTTTGAAAACAACCGCCGCCACAGGGACACACGTTGCTCCACGTCGTGCGTATATGCCCGCCGTTGTCGTCGAGGCGCGCACCAGGCTAGATCGGGGCCGCAACCTGTCGAAATCGGTACATACACTTCCGATCATAAGTACCTAACCCTGGACACTTAATATGCAGCAAATGCTACAGGGCACTACGAAATTGCTGGAAATCTGAAATAATTACTGTTTCAGGAAGTATTGAAGCACTCGACGCTTAGACTATTATGAAGCACAGCTATCCATTATCTAGATAAAGAAAAGTATTTGCTTCGTACAGACCCAGGTGTCGTAAAACGTATGATCGGTAGTGTACGTACGTATCGCGTACGAAGGTCACCTAGCGATCAGGACATTATTCGATCAATCCAGGGTCTTACGCCGCTTTGTCTCCGCGCCGACACGAGACACCTCGACCCATTACGATCTTTTCGGGAATCGATTCGATTTTCCGCGTTTCTACTTCTGAACTGTCCATCTACTACGTGCAAACGCGTGGCATTGAAGTTTCTTCTGTATACAGAAATAGTCGGGTATACATACTGAACGACCGAAGGTCTCCGCGGGGCGACTTCTTTGAAAGAGATATACGTACGCGAACAGCCGGGGTTTTTGATGGAAACAGGAAGAGATCCGAGTAGATGCAAACGTTTCTCGATGACTCACCTCTGTGAACGTGCGTGTTCTCCCGAGATAAACGTTCTGCCGCCTGAGGAGGGGAGACTCTGTAAATAAATTCGAAATCTTCGATCGATTAACCGATTGCAATTGCACACGATATTTTTCCCATTTTCCTTAACACTAGAACTACCAAACCTGTCAAAATGACTGGTCAATACACTCCTACAACGACGATTAACATGTTATGACAATACATTTTCTCAGATCTATTGATAGTGAAGAAATTAGTCAATTTCTAAATTTTCAAAAGTTTTCCACGTTTATCCAGCGATCGAAGCAAATATAGTTCTAGTGTTAACGTAATATCTGAATCACAGAATTTTTACGTTTTCCCTCGATCCCATTGAATATCGCAATCCAAGGGGAGGAGGAAACGCTTCCTATATATGGTTCCGGGGTTTACGGAATCCGTTTCTGAATCGTGTTCCCCTTTCGCGATTACTTACCTAATTAACACCAGGTATCATTTCATCTATAATTCATAAGACGTTTAAAAACGAGCAATTCGGAACATCGAAACAATTTTTCCGGCGTTATCCGCGGCAGGATTACGCAACAGGGAGTCGCGAAGGAAGCGTTTGCCCACGGCATGAACAACCGTCGTGAAATTATACAACGTGTTTTATGAAACGATCCTCCCCCTCCCATCTACCCCTCAGATTATCGTCGCCTCGGACATATTTTATTTGATATTCCATCGTGCCCGTTACGTAAACGCGGGCCAATTAACGGCGCATCACGGCCCGCTAAACACACGAGGAAGCGAACGAACGGGAGAATGGCCGCTGGACGAAAAAGTTCCGAGTTGAAAACGCGCTTCCGGTCCCGGAGTTTGCGTTCGATAAATCGTGAATGATATAGCTTTGTCCGGATTGCGGTTTTTGGCGAAACAGACGTTGCATACCGTCGCTAAAAACGGCGTCAAAAAACGTCGCAAGGTCGCAAACTGCAGGGGAAACAGTGTTGGTTCGATGCCTACTGCGCCACCGACGACCGTTATTGCCGTTCAAACGGCGACACCACGCGGGGACTATTCCAGCGAGCGTTTGTTGCGACGCTAATCGGTTCTGTTTCTCTGCCACTGAAAACAAGATGATATAGAAGTGTTTAACGAACCGTCTGTCAAGACGAAGAACGTAATTATTGGTAATTAAGGGGCTATGCTAGTGTGACGGCAATATAAATGGCGCCTTCCCAAACAAAAGGTTTAATCTGATGAACAGATATGCCAAGTTTGAACTAAATCGGTGTATTAGTTTTTGAATTATCATGGCCGCCGATTAAGAAAAAGTAGCTTCAAGAAAAACGCGATCAAAGTTTACAGCTAATTACCTATTCCGGGCCATATAATACACCTTCCTCTCCATAAAAAAATTGTTGCAAATTGCAAAAAAGAAAAATCCAATTTTCTGAAACCATCACACTAGCATAGCCCTTTAACGAAGTGGAGAACATTTTGTAAAAGCGTTTACACGTGGCCCATCGTCGAAATCTCGTCCCGATAATAAACAACGAAACGAGGGTGTCTCTGGGAGGAGTTGGACAAGGAAAGCCAGTCGGAATATCTCTTCCAGAGGACAGAAGAGAGCACCGTGCTCCGCGGTAGTTTTGGCGCGCGTCGCGAGATCAAGAAGCGTGCACGTTTCGCCGCATTAAACAACGGTTTCCGTCGGCTTTCTCCTCGAATCTTTCCCCCCTCTGGTGATTCGGTTCAGTCGCGAGCAATTCCAAATGGAAAATTCCTCGACTTCGAACTCTTAAATGAAGAACTCTTACAGAATTAAATAACGAAAGCTCTTATCGGCATCGCATCGGTATCACCTGAGTTTCCAATGATTTTCTGGAGGCAGGAAATTTAGAAGAAAAAATTCGGGACATCACCGGTTTATACCGGACAAAAACGTATTCCCCCGTGAAACGAAGGCGTAGGAAATCGTCATCGACCGCGACGCGTCTCTTCTTCAGCACACGGAACGGGAGGACTTTGCTCTCCATTCATCGTGCCCAGTGCCCAACAGGGATAAAATGTTTATACGATTCCACGGGTATGCCTGGCACGTGGCCAGAGGATACTGCGCGTGCATTTCGCGGGACCAGAATAGATTCGCGGGCCAAAATCCCCCATGACTTCTCCCCTCGTCGTGTTCGTATTGACTCGCGGAGGATCGAGAGATCGATGCACGGCGGAGCAGCCGTGTGCACGTGTGTGCGTGAATGTCTGTCTTTATTTCTTCTCCGTCTATTTCCCGACATATGTATGTATATCTCGACCTCAGAGCCAGTATTAAATCCACTTTTTGAAATAATTACATTTTACGTTTCCTGCATGAAATATTTCACTCTTGTCGGTGGTAAATATTATTCTAAGTTTTTAATGTAGGTACATAATAGTCTAAAAATGATATCAAGTTCATATTTTTAAAACACTGTAAAGTTCATCACACATAGGAGAATTAATGTAAAGTTCAGCATTTCGAGACTTGCCTTAAATCCATTCAATAGAAGCTAACAATTTTTACCGAACGGTTCCGAAGTTTTAATATTTTCGCACCTTAGATTTGCTCTCCTCTAAAATTGGAGAAGTGTGACTTAATATACTGTGGTTCTAGGGTTCAGACATGTATATCAGCGAGGAGCAAAACACGTTTTTCGCTTTTCCAGTCGCGCCGGCATGTCTGCTCGATCTTGTATCGTCGAGGAGTGGCCAGGATCCGATCTAGTGCCAACGAACGCGCGTCGTTCACTCGTAGATACGTGTGGATCATTGGCATCGTGACGATGAACTTGCAGTTTCCGAAACGGAACGCGCAATTTCGCATCCACACCAGGGGGGAGGGTGGACGGTCTGATTTAACGCCAACCGTGGTCTGGCAAGATGCAAAGAAACATCGCGATTCCACGAAAATAATCGCGTGGAAAGGAAATTTTCCAAATGCTCTGTATTTTGTACGCGAGAGAAAAGAAAAATTTTCCTCGAACGCCTCTTGCGAGTCGCCTGAATCAGACGCGAGTCATGCTGGATGAAAGACAAAGCATCGTTAAATGTATACAGCGATATTGGAAATTATTGGCCCTATAAAATCGCGCTTTGAAGTAGATTCTTTGTGTCGGGTCGCCGGTGTAACTGCGTCTCCGTTTTTCGAATATTTTCATGTTTACCGAGAAGTCAGTGATGTTCCAAAGTAGAGGAACGCCGTCTGAACGACCTCGACGGTTTTCACGCCGGGATCTATTTCTCGGTGTTATCGACAAAAGCATTTTCTTGCCTCGTGGCGACAACCTCTGCCTGGCGGGTTTCCATGGCGAGATGTACGTATGTACACCGAAGAGCAAACTCGGCTTCCGCTAGAGAAAAAAGTGAAGTTGGCGAAGGGCCTGCCACCATTTAATTTTGAGAGTTACTGAAATTTATACCAAATTAACATTCGATTTAACATTTATTTCAGTATTTGAAATAAATTTACTAAGTGGTAAGAGGCCTTTCTCTTACGCCACTTTTTCCCCTAACGGAAGCCGAATTTGCTCGCCGATGTACATAAATCTACAGCGAATGTTCGACAGTGAAATATATATATATAAAGAACGGTAACACGCTGATTTAACAATCTATATTCATTTTTTGTTTATATTCACTTTACATTTTTAACAATGAGCCGTAAATACCTTGCGAAGCCAGAAAATATATACACACCATTCGACACTTGTTCAACCTTTTCGAGTGGTTACCTATGGATGGAATGCTAATCGTCGTATCGCGCGATTACGTCAGTTTCCGTTATGTCCTGTGCACGTACAGGCGATACACGCGTCCATAAATCGTTAAATCAGTCGTAGCTGATAGCCAGGTTTCGTTGCCGAGCCGTGTTCCGCGGTTCCAGGAGAAAGAAAACCGCGCGCGTGGAATGCATTTAGTAGTCGTTCGCGGGTTATTTAACATCCGAAATTACGCTATACTGATATGAAAGAGTTGTAATTCTTGGACCGACCAAGATGTCGAAGAACACTACCACTACGTATCTAATTGTCCGTTATGCCTCGCGGTGGAACTCGAGACACTGTCTCCGTTACCCTAATTATTCTATACCGCAGCTATTAATTCCGAATGCGAATTTATCCGATAATATGCGTATATACTCTGTTCTCTACGGATATACCCACGTAAATACAAGTCTTTTAATATTTGGTGTTCTCTGGTAAGTTTATAAAGAGTATATCACGATCAGACAGTTCACGCGAGTATTACATTGAAGCCTATCGGAAGTATTCTCTCCTCTGTGTCTTACTCGTCGTGTAACAGAGCCGTGTTTTCTTCTTTTTTTTCACTTTTCGAGATCATTCGTTTCCAGAATGTTAAACAGTAGCTTCCAACTTACGGTCGAGGTAACACACAGAACGCGAGAGTACTGTACAACCAAGTACATACATACATATCGCTGCATACGATACAAAAGGAAAATTCCAAAAGAAGATTATATCTGCGTATGTGTGTGTGTGTAGTGCGTAGGCGCGGGGGGAACAAGGAATATAATCATTCGAAATTGATCGACGTCCTCCAGTTTAGCTCGAAGGTTTACCGGAATGTTGAGATCGTAAATGTTGTTGTATATAGGTTACTTCTCGGTTTCCGCCCGTGGAACTTGAATCCGTTAAGAGTCCTTGCTAGTCTGCTGCGACTGGTCTAATGCTTCTTGGGCGTGCTGCAACCCGGCGCAATAGTGCAGCAGCAGAACGCTCAGTCCTTGAACTCGTAAATCGGTCTGCGCGATCAATTTAAGACTGTCCATTTCCCCGCTCCGCGACAGCTCTAATCTTGAGGTAATTTCCGCGTCGAGCGCAGTTTTCAGCTTGCCCATCTGTGGACGCGTAGAAAACGTATCGGTTAGTTGAACCCCATAATAAATAAGATCCTATTAAGCTTTTGCAGGTAATATCCCCCTATTCACTCTTTGAAAATTCGAAATATTAAGTTCGGTTTCGAAACTTGTAACTCCATCTAGATGTTATCTGGTTTTAATACATAACATACATACTTAAGTCTAAAAAACGCCATATGAGACTATAAACGTTTGTAGCGATGGCTCTATTGTGTCGTTGGAACGTCTTACCATGTCGTTGATCTTCTCGACGCGTTCGCGTGGCTCCAGACACTTGAACAAAAACTTCCCGGTGTCTTTCGCCCTGGACATAAGACCGTCGTCCAGATCCCCGGCTACTAGAGGAGCAGCCACGCTTGGCTCGGCGCCCTCCAACAGGTCAGGACTTATGCCCAAGCCACCGACCAACGAGTTCTAAACGGTTTTAACAATACGATCAGATTCGTCGCAGCAAAGTGTTTATTCGTGTTCGATCGTGACCCTAGAGAAAATGTGATGCGCCTGGCTCGAGCTTATATGATACGTAACAGCGTGAAAAAAAGAAAGAAAAAGTGACGCGACGGCGGCGGCAATAAAAGCGTATTCGGGTATCACTTGTCGGTCTATGAATGTACTGTAACAGTTATAGAGTATTAATACGACCGTGTTGCGTGAGAGAAGCGTGCGGCGACCTCGATGTGCATATGTTACCCAAAATAACAATCAATGGCATGACTAACAGAAAAAAAAATTATCATTGGATTCTTTTTTGTTTTCGTGTTGTTTGCGACAGAGCGGAAAAGAAGCCAGTTCTGCGACATAGAAAGTGACAGATCAGGTGATGCAAAGCGGATGAAACACAGCTTAAGCTCAACACCTTTTATTAGTCGACCAAGCATGATTTGTGTCGTTATTAGGCTTGCCGATTGTGCACGGCACAGGACAAAAAAGGAGATTGGAACAGAGAAGAGATGAAATTGTTGCTTAACGTGATCTCATCTCGTTTTTGGGGTCAATCGTAACGTTCCTAAGCGATCCCCTAGGTTCGAGGATAATCTCTGTGATCCTTCTCCGTTCCAAACCGAACGCGAATCTGTGTGGTATTTAAATTCTACCTTGCGGGATGCACAGGGACTTGGGGGAAGACTTCTAGATGCCAGACCGGTACTGGAAGCCGGTGGAGCCAAACAACTGGTACTTCCAGCCTTCTTCAGACCCAACAGAGTGTTAGCTATACTGGCCTTCATGGCCATCATAGTTGCACCCTGATTGATCGATCAACGGATTGGAAATTGATTAATAAATTCTTCATTGGTCTACATTGCCAACTATCCGATATAACTACTAAAAAAAAAAGAAAGAAAAAGGAGAAAAAAAAAACAAAACAGAAATTGAAGGAAACAGAATCACGGTGGTCAATTCGATTCATATACTTTCTGTGCAATGTCACTTCTAGCTTCTGGTTAGACGATCACGAAGCAAGTGGTTTGTTTACAATGTCACGTTACTTACAATATCAACGTATATACCGAATGTTAACAAGCGAAGGTAAAGGTGCAAACCTACAAGAAACCTTTCACCTCCCTAAATACAGATGTTTAGATGTTTTATTGGCAACAAATAAAGTGAAACACACTTAACAGTCGTCTCATTTATGTACAAAGTACCAAGAATACTCTATATATGTTATCTGAAAGTATACATATTTAATTGCCCGAAACCGCAATTCCTCGGTTACGGTATGTAATTACTATAGTACGATCAAACGCGACTAGTGAAGCGTACATACGCATCGTGATTATAATTCGATAGTATTTCTACTCTTAAAAATTCCTCCTCGAAAAATCAATATACATTTTTCTTAATAAAAATATAAATTATACGTTAATCACACGTTAGGTAAACTTCGATTAATCTAAGTTAAAATTCATGACTAGCTTTGATATAATCGTTTCTTTCTTTCTGGACAATGCAACGGAATGGACTCGCCAACCGTGGCCGCTGATTATTTTTTTATACGTGAATCATGATATTTCAGCGAGTTGGCAATGCCATCCGGGCGTGCATGAAAAACATTGACTACGTCTTGAGTACCTGTACATGATCTTCGCAACTGGTTAGAGATATCTCTGGACCTGATTCCCCGATTAGAGTATTAGGCTCTATTTCGTCAGTTTCTAATGCCATTGTTAAACTTTCCGCTCCGCACGTTCCCGATGCTTGACAACGAACTTCACACTTTTTGTGACACACCATACCACAATCCCTGCACTGTACAGCGTCCTTCAACCAAATCTGTGTGATAAAAAAAAAAAATGTATTGCATCATATTCGAAATGTATTTGCGAACGATCGGACAGACCACATAGATTTCCAAACCTTTTTTGTACAGAAGTCACAGTGCGTTGCCCTATGGAAGTGTGTTCTAATAAAGTCGTGCATCTTCTTATCCGTGATCTCCTCGCTCAGTGTTGGTTGGGTTTTGGCAGTCTCCATACTTTCCTTCTTCCCCGAGTCGTTAACTGTATGACGATCTGGATAACTAGACTCCCACACATAAGATAATAAAATATCACCGTAGCAAAGCGTTGGATCGAATCCTGAATACCCTTGTAGTTTCGTGTGGACCGTTGTGAGAGAAGCTTGTAAAAAGGTAAGATGAAACTAATATAAAACGTATAGAGTAAAAGGTTGCATTAACTACTACGTCTGATCTATTAATAATACGTACCACTATCGGGTGGTAATAAAGCATGACATTTAAGATAATGACCTGTCGAGGATGTATAACATTGCGCCAAAATTAATTTCATAGGGACGTTTATGTACCCTAACAATTTTGCAGGAAATTCTCCTCCTCTTACACGACCCCACACACCTATATTCAAATATTGCAATTCCGAATCAATTTGAAAGTTCCTAGTTTCCTCGAAGTTAATCAGCGAAGCATATTCCTTTTCTTTTGTGGTGTAGTATAAGTCTGTTACATTTGTGACATAATTATCATCCAAACACAATTGAGAACTATTTGATATTAATGATTGATTCGAGGTTGTTGAAATCTTTCTGGAAGGTGTAGAATCAGGTGTCTGAGCTGGCTCATCTGTGGCGTGTGCGCTACTCTTTCTTCGTCGAAAAAATTTGCTGCCTGTTTCCAATTTCTCGGAGATTTCGTTCTCGGAATCTTTCAAGTCTGAGAATTTTATTTGGCTTTCAAACTTGATCTTGCTACCCTCTTCTGTACTCTGTGTATCTCCTTTATTCATTATAGAATCTGTTTTCAATGATTTTCTGTCCGTTCCTCTCTCTGCAGATAGCTTTTCACTGTCTATTTTCGTATTGATTTGCTTATCTAGATCTGCTTTGGAATACTTCCTTTCGACCCTTATGATAAATCGCCGCTGTACAGCACTTTTCACGAATTTGGCTACTTGATTCATATTAGATACCTTTTTACCATCTACCGCTACTAAAATGTCCCCTTTTCTCATCTCGGCTATTGCCGCAGCACTTCCGGCTACAATAGTTTCGACTAACACACAAACATGCCCTATTTCTGGCACAAGTTCTTGTTTAAATACTACGCCTAATTGCTGAGAACCAACTTTGCTAATTATCAAATCCAATACCATGTAAGGAACTCCAGTATATTGAGTCAAAAACACCCAAGGTGTCGAATCCACGCTTATTGTACAGTACACTTCAATCTGTGATTTATCCTCTGCATAAAGCATATTAAGTCCAAGATTCAATCTGCTCACTTCTAATAATGATACTTCCAAAAAACCTGGTATCAATCGTATATTGGCTACCTGGATAAACGTTTTTTTTTTATAAATTATTGCACCCTTTCCCACAGTTTTATAATCGTAACTAGTGAAATAGCCATCTTACTTCGGATAAATCTACTGCTTCATCGTTCAGTCTGCGGAAGAATGGTTTATAACGCAGTTTATAGCGAGGTAGAGTATGTTTCCGACGCACAGCTCTTCGAATCTGTCCAGTAATCAAAGAGATAATCTGTGGTTGTAATTGACGCCCTTGAAATTGAGACTGCACTTCTAGTTCAAGCACAGGGTCCGAATAAAAACTTAAGGACCAATGAGTATATGGAACACGTGTGAACTGTAATCTGGCTCTACCACTGATTCGTTTCACTGGAATCGTCCATAATAAATTAATGTTACAGTTCAAATTTTACAAGAACTTCATAGTTCAAAGTGGATTTCTCGTTTACCAATGTACCTTGCAGAGCCATGTATGCAGTTTTACCCAATAACATTTTAACATCTATTGATAATTGAAAATTTCCAGAGTAATGTAAGTCTAAAGATAAATCCAATGACTCCAGCAAACCGGTATCAGCATCTATTTTTGAATCAGCCACTTCTAAACCTTTTATAGTGGGAAATTGTGTACCTAGATTCAAGTCTCTTAACTGAAAAAGTAAAATAGTCATTATTGTTGTATCACTAATATTTCTATAAATTTGTATCTAACTTACCTTTACACTATCCAACAATTTGCCAGTTGTAGACTGAGTTAAAAGTTCTTTGAATTCATTATTTAATTTTCTATATAGCCATAAACGTACCCGTTCAGCATTTCTTAGTTCATTGAACAGAAATTGTAGTGTTAAATTTATTGCCAAGTTCTCATTGCCTTGGCACATAGCTTGACGGGAGGTACTTGTACTAGAATTAATTTTTTCATCTTGAATTTTTTCAAGTAGTTCTTCAGGTAACTGAGCCTTGCCATGCTGGTTTGTTCTTTTTGGTGGGCTTGTTAATGGTGCTTCTTCCAAGTACTTTTTGAATAAGTAAAATTCCAGTGCAAGTGTACATATTATACCACACACAAATGTAATCACAGACACACAAATAAATTCAAAAAAGTCCATATTAAAATGTTACACAGTGGAAACCTAATAGCTTCCTTAATTAATCTCAATGCATTCAGTGCTAAAATTGAGAAATATCAAGAAATAGGCACTCTTTCATATAACAGGAAGGAATGTAAAAATATAAAGTGTATTTGGAAGTGTATTTTTTAATCAATATTTGACATTCGACATTCGTTTGAAATATTAGGAACTTCTATAATATCTACTATTTGCATCGATGACTAAAAAACGTATTGTTTTTACAACGCTACGTTACATTGTTATGAATCACCCTCTTCTCACGGGTCAACAGTTATGCAGAACACTTTCACCTATCATTACGATGCTTGAAATTACGGCATTTTCACAAAAATATAAATAAATTTCATTACAATTAAAAAAGTGTACATATTTACAAAAGAATGTACGCGAAAAACATGTTGGAGACTCTAATAACGCCACAGCTACAAACGAAACGTATTATGACACTTCCCTATTGATCTCGGCAGCCATGTTTGTGCCAGACAAGCTTGTCAATTTGACAGATTGCTCGATTGTCAACCTCATACATTATTTACACCTGACTGATATTTGCGTCCAATATAATTTTTTTCAAAGATTGGTGTTACTATGAATGTTAGAATTACTTTAAATTTGGTAATCTTTAAGAAAGTCTGCGAACAGCAATTATAAAAGTATATATTTATAGAAATTGCTGTACACATTCAGTCAATATTGACTACACATATGTGTAAAGAACAAATAATAACACGGGTTTAAAAAATAGAAATAAAATTATGGAAATTTTTAAACCTTACATAATAGAACATATGAAATTTAAAAGGTAGTAGGTTTTACTTTGAGATAAAAAATTTTTCATTGATAATGAAAACACTGGTTTTTAATAGTGTAGCATATTGTCTATTATATTGGATACAGAAAATAATTTCCATTTAATGTCTCCAACACTCGTGTATGCGTAAATTATACGATCAGCTGATAGAGCATAACCGTACGATCCTCTTTTTCAGACTAGAGCTTTCTGAACAATTTAAATAGTAAATGATACAAGTATTAAGGGTATTGGTGTTTTTTTTTTATATTGATGTATATATAATTATTTTCAGATGATACGGAAAGAGAGTCGTTCGTAAGTTTTGTATCATAAATTTATAAACAGCCGAAAACAATTTGAATCTTTGTAAATATTGCAGAACGTAACCTCAACTTTGTATTTATAGTGCATAAATGTAGGTTATTTTGTAAATATGGCAGCTTTGATGAAGAAAAGAGTTTTAGCAGAGTTTACACAAAGCCAGGTAATTTATACTTTTTCTAGTTAAAGTTTTTTTAATGCAACCTTTATCAGATTATATTTATTTGTAGGTTGTAAATGAGCCACCATTAAAAAGGCTAAGAACATTACGCCTAACATCTACAGCAGGTAGCAAAAATGGGACAGAAAGCAGTTCTGCATTAGCTTACATAGAGTGCCTTGAAAAATGTAAATGTGGCAATGATGCTTTACAGCTTCTTGTCCGTATATCTGATACTATAGCATATATTTCTCCAGAAGATGTTCCTTCAGTTGTAAAGAAATTGTCAGAGAGATTTGCCATTGAAACAGAAGCAGCAGTTCGTGCTAAAATACTTTGGATATTTGCAGAGTTAGGAGAAGTCACAAATGATTCAGTAGAGAAAACAAGAATTGTCACTGAAACTGCTGAACTTTTAAAAAATGAGGAATCACATAGAGTAAAAAGTCAAGGCTTAGCAACATTGTTGAAGCTAGGGGATTATCATAGGAGTCTTGCCCTAAAAATTGCCCGTGAGCATTTACCAGATACTTGGCATGGTGTTCAAACACGTTGCCTGTCTATTATTGGCAGATACTTGACTGCAAATGCTGCAGATGACACATTAGTATTTGTTGGAAATTATGCACGTTCTCAGGATCCAAGAGTACGTGCTCAAGCATTTGAAACAATGGCAGAGCTTCATTCTCACAGGGGTTGCAGATTACCAGCCAGTTTCTTTGGAGAAGCTTGTGCTGCACTAAGAGATGATTATGAAATTGTTCGTCGTGCAGTTCTCAAGTTAATATGGCTTTTGGGTAGAGAGTATCCTGACAATATGATTATGGGCGCAGATGGAGAAGATACACGCATGGTCGACTGTGCATTTTCCCAGATTTGCAGTTTTATGGGTGATTTGTCGCCAAGAGTTAGAACTTCGGCAATGACGCTTCTAGGATCAATGAAAGGCGTAACTCAGCGGTACATAGAACAAGCATTGGATAAGAAACAAAAAGTTGTAGAAGCAGATAGGCCAGAAGTGGAGGAGAAGAGTGGTTCCTGTGGCGCTTTTATTCATGGTTTAGAAGATGAGTTCTTAGAGGTGCGAACAGCAGCAGTTGAAGCACTTTGCACTTTGTCTTTGGAACAACCGACCATAGCGAGAGTTGCTTTAGATTTCATGGTAGACATGTTTAATGACGAAATTCAAGATGTAAGGCTGAGAGCTATTGAGTCATTAAGAAAAATATCCGCAAGCGTGACACTTCGTGAGGACCAATTAGAAACAATACTAGGTGCACTGGAAGATTTTTCAGGCGAGGTGCGAGAAGGTTTGCATGCCACTTTGGCGGCCAGCCGGCTTGCTACAAGAAATTGTCTTTACATGTGTGTAAATCGTCTCCTTGAAAACTTGAGTCGTTATCCTCAAGACAGAGAGAGCATTAGAAGCTGTTTAGCTGCGCTGGGAGCCTCGCATCCGTACCTGACATTGCCTTTAGTACCTCAACTTCTTGGACGACACCCGTTCTTCGACACACCGGAACCAGACGTGGATGAACCTTCCTGTATCCTTTTGGCAGTTATCTGTATTACATAGGAATTTCCACCACGATAGTATTTAGTAGTATTCTTAACTACAAACAACAGATGCAAGTGTGTTGGTATTAATATTTAATGCTGCATTGCACTGTCCAAGCATGCATGCTCTTTTCACAGAGCATACATCTAAACATTACCACTATTTACGGGACACGATGCCACATTTAGTTCCGCGATTACGTCCAGCTATAACGAGTAGATCAGGTTTTGGAAAGGAAGACAAAGTCGATGAAGAGACTGAGCGTGGGAAGGTATTTTTAGAGAAAATAGTAACAGGCGTTGAAAATGCAAGACCTGACGGCAGAGTTCACACTCAGCTTTTGGAAGCTGCAGCCATTGATCTAGATCGTTTAGCAGAAATGGATCATCGTATGGAAGGGGCAGCACGGTTCACCGCACTTTACATACGTTGTTTACTGCTCTTAAAATCTGTATTAAGGGAATTCTCCATGTCATCGAATTCGGTGTCGACTAGTCCATTACCGAATACGACTACCAACGTTTCAGTTCTTCTTCAGAATACTCAGAAGTATGTTGAAGATATTTGTATCCGTAGCTCGTGATGTTTATTTTACTGACAAATTGAATAAATGTTTAGGTTACAACGATTGTTCAGTGGATTAGGTGAAACAGATATGATGTTGGCCAATGATTTGTGGCTGAAGGCATTGGCAGCAGAATTGATTCGAGTCACGAGAAGCGTAACCGGAAGAAGTGCTCTTCCATTGACTCGATACTTTCTTTCCGAGGCAGACACGTTACCTCAAGATACATCAAAGTTGCCATCATTTTCTAGAGCTCTTGTTCTTCAGATTCCAACCTTAGCCGATATAAAACCAGGATCTCTGACGCGATTACTGTTACCGTTACTTTTAACACCTGCATCGCAAGGCGAAGAACGACTACCAAGACCTTCAGTGTCTACACGATTCTGTAGGGCAGTTATAGAAGAACCCAGAGGAGATGCGGATTCTGCATTAAAGTTTACCGGAGGTCTCCTACTGGGAATCCCATTAACAGCAAAAATCTTGAATTTAAAAGATCCCAGTATACTACGTGTTAAAGTGAGACATCCCGATCAACAAGTGCAGTTATTGCTGCCACGACAATCGGATCTACGATTGCAGAATACGGAACAAAATGATTATAGGCTGAAGACCACAGTTTTACTTTCGCATCAAGTTTGGATGGAAGCTTGTAACGTAGAAATATCCCTTGCTCTCCTTGTTCCATCATCGGCTCTTGATGATCCATGTGTTATTGATCTTTGTAAACCAACGAAAGTATCAATAGCACCAAAACCTGTGAAGAGAGGTATCTAAAGATATTTTTATACAACGGCACGTTTTATAAAATGGTTTTCTTGTAAATAAATTCGAAATACACTAAATCACGTTCATTGTTGTATAACACGATGGCTAAGAATATTTTAAAATTAACGACATTTGTTCCGTTTTTTTTTTTTTTTTGATAAAAAGTAATTATAAATACATGATTCGAATTAATTGAGAATATTTAAATTATACTGTTCTCTCTTTACAAAAATAATTCCTATGAATGATGTAATTGTGTTTAACTGAGACGTTTGTAGACTACCGCCAACTGGAGAAGGAACTTCCACTGAAATGAAAAAAATGCTTCAATTAATAAACTGTTGACATCCTTAGAATTAGCATACGTAAGAGAAAGATGAAACGTTGTCGTTTACTTACCCGCTAAATGTTGGAGGTTTTTCTGCTTCTGGACTTTTTTGAGCAAGGCTACTAAAACTGAGACCACCTGTTTGGCTAGCCAAGGTTTCAAACGTATTATTACCTCCTACACTCCCAAAAACTTTCGACATATTATTGTCCATTGAAGACGCATTACCTCCCATAGCAGGTGGACTTCCAAAAGCTATTATAATCAGTATTGTTAGATTAATGTTAGTATTGGAAAAGGTGCAAACGGTAACACAGAATAAACTAGTTACCTGGCGGAGCTGCGGTTGTTCCAAATGCTGTTGTCCCAAATCCACTACTGAATGCAGGTTTTGAAGATCCAAATCTAGGTGTTGATCCAAATACTGGTTTGGGTTCAAATGCAGGTGCTTGTCCAAAGCCGGGTTGTGCACCTGTCACGGGCTGTTCTAAACCTATTGGAGAAGTACTAGTTCCAAATGCTGGTGCAGACCCAGGAGATGACGCTCCTGATGTGGCATTGTTTGCAGTACCACCAAAGAAAGCCGTGGAACCTGCATTCGGAGTTCCACTGAATATTGAACCGGACTCTTGAGTGTTGTTAAAAATAGATTTTTGAGGTGTTCCAAATGTGTTTACGGGAGGTGCACTTCCTCCAAAGATAGGGGTAGCGGAAGATACTTGGGTATTTGAATCAAAAATTGAATTGGTATTGCTTCCACTGAAGATCGAAGTGTTCGCCGAAGTTGTTGGCATACCGCTAAATATAGACGTATTTATAGTACTTCCAAAGTGCACAGAAGCAGGACTGATAATTGGTTTTTCAAAGGTGTTCGCTGCAGAAGAAACCGCTGGTGTACTTTGAAACTGAGTATTCAGTGTAGGAGAGGATGGTTTACCAAACACAGAAGCAACAGAAGTAGTTGTTGGACTACCAAAAGTTAAAGTAGATGGTGTACTGTTGCTTGAACTGACAGGACTTGCCGATGATAAATTCGTGGCAGCTTCTCCAAAAGTGGATTTCGATAATGAAGCTTGAAATGGAGAACCCGTAGTTGATGTTGTTGCAATCGTAGTTGTTGTTGTAGTAGTTGTTGTTGGCGCATTCTTAAAACCACCGAATATCGCCATAGGTGATGTCGTCGTAGATTGAATTCCAAATCCTGTACTGCTGGTGGTAACAGTGAAGGTAGAAGTACTTGGTGTAGAAGTTGACATTCCTCCAAATATAGAGACATTTGAAGTATTCGTTTGATTACTGAACAATGGAGCAGCAGATGTTGTAGATGCAGCAGCTTGTATTGGACTCGATGAGAAACTGGGAACTTTTGATTCAATAGAAGGTACCTTTTCAATAATAACTGAAGCTGCAGTTGTAATATTCCCTTTTGTAAGAGCTTCATTTGCCAGACCAATAGACATTTGTCCTAACGATGTCGGAAAACCAGGTGTTCCAAATGTAGGTTTATAGTTAAGCTTTCCCTCAGAACTAAGATTACTGCTGGATCCAACTGGTTGATTACTAGTTTGCAGCCCTGGGAATAAACCTGTTAAATTTAATGATTCTTGTGCCTGAGGGGTTGTTACCGTTGACGGTATTTTTAAGTTGAATGGACTAGTAGTGCTTGATGGTTTTGAAGCGAACGAGAACGTTTGCGCAGTTGTTGTTTGCGGCATGCCAGCCTGTGAAGCACTCTTTACAGTTCCAGGAACAGTAATTGGAGTAGCAAAACTGAATGGAGTTGTAGGTTCAGGTCTTGCTGTTGTCGTTGCAGTGAGTCCAAACTGCAGCGAGGTATTTAAAAGGTTTCCCTGTATTTTTCCAGATACTGTATCTGTTGATAATGCATCCTTTAATGTACCAGTACCAAATAAGTTAGTTTCACCTACATTGAAGGAATCGCTACTTGATACAATTTCTTTGCTGGGTTTGGCACCAGATTCCTTAGATACAGGTTTCTGCACAGTAGTTTCTTCGGGCTTCTGTGTTACCGTACCAAACGTGATAGGATCTACTTTAGGGAAACATTTCATTAAACCAGGTACATTATGAGCAGAAGGACTGACTTGAACGAACGTAATTGTCTCTTTTGATTTAGTAATTTGAGGTATAGTAATAGATACCGGTGGACTTGATTTCTTTTCTGTCTGTGGAAGCTTAATCCCAGTAGTAGCAGGGAAAGTTACATTAAAAGTAGGCTGTTTAGTTTGTGCTTTAGTTTGGATTGGCACATTATTAGGTTCACTTGTACCAATTCTTGCAACAATGCTATTCAGTGAAGCTAGAGGACTTTGCTGTTTCGGCTTTTCGACGGTTTGCTTGGTAGTAACAGGAGTCAGCTTTGAAACTGGTGATTCTACTTTATTTTTAGTTTCACCAGGTGTAGTGTTGAGCGAAGCCAAAGCAGACAACGTTGCTTCCAAACGATCCTGAATAGGCGATGGATTAACAGGTTTTATAATTCTTGGTGTAGAAGAAGACAAGTGTTCTCTTAGCTTGATTTGTTTTCCTTCGGTGAAGTTCAAAGTTCTAGAAGCAATAGTCTTGCAACGTGCTTCTATAATGCCTGCATTCCTTGGAAGGGAGACCGAAGATTTTGATGACGATATACTTAAATTGGACAGTGAATGATTTAATCCAAAAATATTACTATTACGAGTTAGTAATTTCCATTGTTTCTTGAGTTGTTCTACTTTACCCTTCTCCTTCTGAATTATTTTATTATGCAGTATAAGGTTTTGATACACAAATTCCATATGAGGAATCTTCATGCGCGACATTTCTTGAGACTTATGATCCGACCATTCTAGGTCTAAGATTTTAGTAGCCTGCGCGAGTTGCATTTGAGTGTAATAGTAAAGCTTTTGCAGATCGGATACCTTGTTACTGTCTCCACAGTTTCGAGTGGTAAAATCCACGCTAGCCGCATTTTTCGACTTAGTTTCCTCGACCCAAGCGAACGATTGTAACAGCAATGCTTTTAAATACGCTATATCGCTGGATAAACTATTTGTCGTTTCTCTTAATTCTCTAAGAAACTGGTCTATTATAATAGATGTGTCTATAAGTTTACGACGTTCTTCTTCTGTACCACATTCCCAACTGTGCAATTCTAATCTGTTGCACAGTTCCCTCTCAAATAAATTATATTCTTCAATATAAGCACGAATATCTCTACTTTCATCTTCAACAGTTGTCTTCTGCTCTACAGGCTCTTGTGAAATCGTTTCTGTAACTGAAGTTTGTTTAATATCTGGCTGTACAGGTTCCTGTAAATGAGTTTCTTTAGGTGGTTCTACTTTAACTTCCAGGCTGGGACTTTCAATTTGTTGTTCCTGTTGTTTTGGTTTCTCAACCGAAGGCTGTACAAAGAAGCCACTTCCTTTAAGAAATTTATCATAGATATTTCCTGTAGAAATTGGTTTGGTACGTTTAAGTTCACTAACTGATTGCTTCAGACATGGTGTACTTGTTATTGCGCCATTCATAATAAGAGATGTGTCCAATGGAACAGTATTTAATTGCGGTTGCGGTGGACTTGTAACGATTTCTGTGGGTGGAGAATTAATATCAGGACAATTGGGTGTCAAATTCACCATATGAAAACTACATAGTTGCCCAGCTGTTGATAGAATGTGTAGTATAGGTACTGGATGAGGTAAAAACGAATCAGCTCCCCATGGTAATTTTCGAACAGAAGATTTATCTATAGCTAAGCCTACTGGGTAACTTTCTGTAGTACAAATTAATGGCAACTCAGCTCTGCCACTATCAACCAGTTGCCATTGATTCCAAGTGGCTCCTCCATCTGTAGATCCTAATACAGCTATCTCACTACTGTTACTACTTGCAGCAATAATTAAACCCCATTCTGGCACATAATCAAAATAATAACGTGGAATTGTTCCTCCTCCTTCTGAATTGGTTATCCCATAAGTGATGTCTTCGTAACAGGTGAAAATAGCATTTGTACCACCTTTAGGAGCATCGATTATGAGAACATTTATTCTCTGTTCATTATCAAAGTACGTTGCACAGAATTGATAATTGCTGATCCATAAAATAGAAATAATTTCCCCGATGTATGGAGCAGGACCAGGAATTGTTCTAGCTATTTTTAAGTCTGGTTTCAATTGTATAAGACTTCCATTTCTACAACCCACAACTACTTGTTTCCCTTTAGGACTCCAGGCTGCACACAAAGCATCCACTCCATTTAATTGTTCTAAACCTTTTAATTCTATGATCTTCTCATCTTTTATTTGAAAACTACCAATTGTGTAATCGCTACCTACTGTACAGAACATTCCTGGGACAGTAGGATTCCATTGTACATCATTCACAAAGACTTCTGAGTTTGATTTAGAAATCCTAATTTCATGTAGTAATTGTAAATTCTGTAAGAAAGAAAATTAAAATGTCTTAAACCAGTTGTACAGAATTCTAATAAAGATGAAGAAAATATATTTTAATAACATACACCCTTGGTTAATGCTTGTACATCGTAGATTAAAATACAAGGTCCATGTGGTGCTATTGCTAAATAGGAACAATCACAGCTAAGTGTTAATTTAGAAATAGCTACTAGGGTATCAATTTCTATCTTCCATTCTGGATCGCTATCTTCTCCTGGTTTTAATACGATTATTCTACTGCTTTGACCGATATACAATAAACCTCTTTTCTTGTCTGCAGTAATTAGACTACAAGCAGTTGGTATCGATGTGAATGCATTTAAAACTTGAGATATGTGCGACTGTTTAAATTGAAATTCCTGAAAATCATAAATAGATTTTACACAACACTATATATATATATATATATATATATGTATTCACCTACATGACATAAGCATACATATCAATACAATAAAATGTTTCCTGCATTCTTTTGTGTTTACAGTGTTCACTGCTTGAAAGTCTAAACATTTTATTTATATTTAAATTAGAAATCTTGCTAACAAGGTTATAATGCATAGAATAAATTTTTGGCGGTACAGTTTCCAAAAATAACATGTAATACCTGGATGTCTTTTGGATCGGGTGCAGCTTTCATGTTTAATTATATCACAGTACTCTTCATAGAAATAATCAGTTGCCTTAAAAAACTAATTTGCCGGATGCTTACCAGGTTAAATACGAGGTAAACGAAAACAACTTACAGTACTTGCATAATTTTCGATTGCATAGAACGTTATACAGTGTGATCGAGTCATAAAGCCACAGACGAGATATGGAATAGACCTAAAATGCAATGTAATTTTCTGTTACATCTTCTGGGGTTCCACAGCCCCAAAGTTACCAATAACGCATGAATTCTGAGTATTATCACCGACTAGGTATAGGATAGACCTATCATCTTATGGGACTTCGTGTCTCATGTTCTGAAATACCGATAGTGTAAAAAGTCAGGGATTTTCTGCTGCCTTGTTAAAACGCTGAAACTACTAGCCAATTATATGGCTAGCAGTATGGCTAGCAGGCTCTCGTTTAGCAGTGTAAATCCGATCGAAACCTGTTGCAATTACATACATATACCACTAAACAGGCAACACTTTTCTTCGTCATGCATTACATTCGAAGTCAAACTTTCTTCATACAGAAAAGTTTTTATTCATTATTTAACTGGTAACATCTGTCAGATTTTATTGCATAAACTTTGGCGCCATTGTAAAATTGACAGATATATTTATCATAGATGGCGTTTGAGAACTATGCAGAATTCAAAACTTCGAGAAGACGGCAGATAAATTAATATTCTTCATCTAAACCGAATTGGAATATTACATTTTCGGGGATAGTATGTCTCTTTGTTTCACTTTTATGACAGTGATTCCCTTCTGAATTAATCTCGGACGCACATAAGAAAAATATATTGAAATATAATTCGGCGGTAAATATTCTATTTCGTAGAAATAAGAAGTGGCGCCAGGAGGGAAGGGACCAATCCTCGCGTTCCTCATAACCGATCCACCAATCATATCTAGTCATGGGCAGCCTAACGGTCATTCTTCTCGATGAAGGTGAAGTGATTAGACGTGAAGTGATCTCGTTCGTGGGGAAGTAAGTATTATTACTTATTTCTTTAAATTATTTATGCTATTGGTATCTTCATTAGCACTCTACCGTTACTTTCGTTTAGTATCTATTCAATTCAGTGTAAATAATCGTAAATTCACTCGGTATTACTGGATAAAGTGAACCGGCTTCACAATTTCTGTTCTCCCCCCGATACCACTTAGTATTTATGCAGTTTTTCATCAATTTGCAATCTTTGGCAACATTCCTCGAGTTAATAATTGTTTCGTAGTGATTCAATCATTGTTAATTTAGTATAATTACTTCGTATTAACGTTTATTTTCTGTTTCAGAATTTCGGCTAGAAGGAACGCGCCAGCGATGAGATGACAGTGAACTCAGCCGTTAGAGACAATTTGGCGGGAAACTGGTGAATTCTGGTAACGTATTAAAGGATGAATATGATACTAATAAAATATGACACGCGAATGTATATATTTTTTCACTTATCTATAACATAACTTATTCTAAATCAATAATATCGTTAATGGACATTTTAATAATGTTACTTTTTACATTTTCCTTTTTTATTCGCTTTATATCTTTTTGTCTAATAACGTAATATAGGAATCTTAATACATACAATTAATTACCTTCTGGCAATTGGTGAATCTTTATATATAACTTTATTTACACATCATTTATTTACAATAATTTTATTTATTGCGAGTAATTAAATAATAAACTTTGATCCAACTAGAGCTAAACTTGCCAAACTTCTACAGCATATACCTTCCGATGTATTTCAATTGTAGGGTATGAATTTATAAAAATAGTCGAATATGTATAAACTATGTATAACTAACGTAACGAACTTAATCTAACCGCATTTGAAACGTAAAGTCCAACGGTGGGAGCTATGTCTTCGTTCGATGACGATGAACCTACTTAAGATGTGTTAAATTGATAAAATTAAATTGAATTAAAATAAATCCAAATAAAACATTATTAATTTAAAAAACAAAATAAGATACAATTAATTAATATTAGCTAAGAAAAAAGAAGCGTTGCGAACCAATTCGTCGAGTTCGAATAATGCTAAAAAAAAGTTGATTAGCAGTTATTAATCGAGTTCGGATGAGAAAGAGAGAACCCCTTGAAACTTGAAACCACCTGACCACTGACCACCAATGGTCAGTAATTGTCCTTGACAATAACTGTTACACGTGTTAAAATACTACTAGGCATTGTATATCAATATTTACATCTAAAACGAAGTAGGTAAAATAACAAATTTTCGGAGATCGCCTGGGATAGTAGGGTACATGAAAATGTAAGTTTTCGAAAATTGGTCAACCAGAGGCAGAAAACATATGGATCTGACATTGTTTATATCCATCCGAGTACTGCGTAGTAGATTTTCTAGGAAATCGTCCTTGTGCGTCTGTTTTTTCGTTTCATGAAGGGCAGTGCCCGTTGAGCTAACAGCAGGTATACATGGTACCGAATATTCTGTTTCGTTAGAATAGAAATTGGGGTGGGGATGGAAGGAGAGCCACCGAGTCAGCAATCACAAAGACGGCCTAAGGGTCATTTGTGTCCTAGAAGTCAGAGTGATAAGACGTGAAGTGAACTTGCTCCCGTTGAAGCCTAAGTACGCGATCTTTTACCTTTCACATCTAATCATTTATATCAATTATTAGTGCCTCCGTTAGCTCTCTATTGTTACTTTCGTTTAATATTTATTCATTTTAGAGTAAATTGTCGTTAATTAATTCGATATTACGGGACAAGGTCACCGGTTTTCGCGACTTCCTTTGTCCACGCCATAAGATTTACGCATTTCTGATTTCATTTACAATCTTTTACGGCACACCTCGAGCACAATAATTGTTTATTCGTAACGAAATCATTAGTAATTTGATATAATTGCTTGGAATAAACGCGTTTATTTTCTGTTTCAGAGGACCGGCTGGAAAAAGGACGTGCCACTAATACCATGGAGTAGCAACACGCCGGAAAATTGGTGAAACCTGGTAATTTGTTGTAACAAATAGGTGATAATCTATTATATATTTTTACTTTATCGTGTTTCCATTGTGTTTGGTTGTAAGCATGATCGCGATTTTGTGATTTATTGTGCAAAGATCGAACGAGAATTCTTCGGGCAAGTATGTACTTTGAATTTAAATGCGCAGTTTAAGAATTCACAATGGCTACCGCGGCCATTAGAAAATTTGAACGTTACTTTCAAACATTTAAATTCGAAATATTCGCAATTTACTGTGTCACGGTCGCGAAATTGTTTTAATATTAATTATTTCACCTGTCTATCTTTATGGAACCATCGTGTTTGCATTTGCATACAGTTTCGGTTGTAAGTTTGATTATATAGATACTGCGTAATTCATCGTGCTCACCGAAGCACGGGTAAATAACGAAACTTTGATATTTGCAATGATTTTCTGAATATTTACAAAAATCGGGACGTGGTTTAGATAAAGAAAATGAACGTGCTTACAGCTCTAACAACAAATGTCTTTAATATAATACATAAATATTAAATATATAAGTATAACAGATTTAATATATTTATATTGAATTGAATAATTATTCTGTAATACTTAATAATATTTGAACTCATGTTAATTATCGAAAGGCAGTATTTTCTCAACAGACACTTGGTAGGATACAGAAACTAAAACAGTAGGCAGGCACAAGTGTGCCTTGTATTTCCCATGTACTTTTCTTTCAGAGAATTTTGTGGCCGCGCGCAATGCGGTCGAATAGAGTCAGTGTTTATATCGTACTAGATTTTTTGTTTATGCGGAGCGAACTGGCTCCGTGTAGAATCTCACCGGAGATGCTAGGTTTTCGCGAAATTAGAGTCAGTGATTATTACGTATTATCAATTACTGTCAGAGTGTCTGGACACTTTTTGCTTTTTGAGTCGCGAAACTAGAGTCAATACATCACTGAAGAAAATATTTTTGCGCAGCTCTGTTTACAGAGGATGTAAGTATCTTTATATTTTATTACTTACACTATACAATTGAAACAGCTAGAATTTTGAGAGGAGGTTATAACGATTTCTGTTCCTTTTTTATCAGATTCATCAGGCGCTGTATAAACGACCGTTGCAGAGGATGTCCTCGGGCGAAGCTCCACCAGCCAAGACTGTAAGCATCTTTAAATATTCTTACTTACATTATTCAATCGAAATAAGTAAAATTTTGAGAAGAGATTGTAACGCATTATGTTCCTTTTTTTTCCAGATTCCTAGAGTCTTAGACGGAGCCCTTCTGTCATCGGGTGAGTCGCATGCTTTTGTTCCTCCGGTCCCCAATCATGTCGTAGGACGATTGGTCCAAAGCGGCACGGGTGACTGGTTGTATACGTGCTTAATATTGCGAGTACAGTGAACGCGGATATGCAATCATATCCGCGAGTAGTGACATCGATCTCTTGTGTTTCTTAGATAGGCTAGGGTCTTCTTGTACGCCGTGTTTATTATTAGTAATATAATTCAGAAATATTTTCTATTGAAAGTATATTTATGAACGAATCATTAACTTAACGTGAAATTATTGATTAATATTGATCTTTGATATTTTGGGACCACAAGTCCTATTGTTTACGACAATTGATATTTTTTTATTAATCGAGAACGTGGTACTATATTATTCAGTTAACTAGAGAATGCAGTAATTTGACGGTAATTAGTCAAATATTAATATTGTCATATCGAAACCATTACACTAAAATTATTCTAGCGTTATTTACAAGTACGGTCAATTGATTGAAAAATACTACTGAACACATTAATGTATGAAATATATGTCGACGAATATAGAATCGAAAGAACGGAAACCATGCCGATATGTTCAAAGTAGAGAGGAAAACATTGTGGTGCCTTCAAAAATTGAAACCAGTGTTTCAGGTTTCATTCGTATTTCCAAATCCCTATAAAGTATCGGTCCATAAAACGAAAACGTGTTGATTTACGTCGTCTGTGCATCGGTATGCACACCCTCGTGAAAAACAATGTGTCATGAAATAATTTAACACAGGTGCACACGTGTTAAATTATTCCACGATCATTGTCGTGACCGGTCGTTTTGATGCTAATAGCAAAGAATTGTATTCAATTTTACGTACACACGGGTGTAGTAATATGTATATCGAAACGTGCTGGCGTGT